AATTCCTTTTTGCTTTCTTCATCAATATTGAGTTTATCGATATCTATTGGTTCGCCTTTCTTAATTTTGACTAAGGCTTTTAATTGCTCTTTATTTTCAGCAGAGATATTTAAGTTATCGATATTTACTTCTTGGTTCTGGAAAATTTGCTGAGTGGCTTGAAAACAGATTTCCATTTCTGGGTTGCAGGCGTCACATCATTTCTTATCCGGTTTTTGGGGAAAATAATGAGTATTATCTCCGTAAGAGAAATATTTTTTGCAGTTGTAGCATTTAAGGTTGGTTTGGTTATTTTGGCTGGAAGTGGGAGGGGAATTATTAATAGGCGAGTAATTAGGTTGGTCCTTTGGTGGCGAAGATGGAAAATCTTGGTTTTTTCTTAAATCTGCTAAAATTTTCTTTTCAGCACAATCCTGGCACAAACTTCCGGTTTTATTTTCATAATCGTTATAATAACTTTTGCCGGTAATTTTTAATCCGCAGTCATCACATTTTTCAGTAGCATAATAACCAATATGACAACTACCTCAATCTTTACCCGCTACATTGGTTTTTTCTCCTTGTAAAGATCAATGCCATTGTTTATTAGCCTCGCGGTGTTCGACCGAGCCACACATTCAGGTTTTAAAAGTATATCGTCAAGGACAATGAATTGGTAAAACGGGCGGATGATAAGGATTGCCCCACTGAATACAAAAAAAACATCAGGGTTCGCTAGTTCCTTGGTTCTGTCGACAATCAAAGCCGGCTGCTTCAATAATGCATAAAAAATTTTTTTTGCGGCGGTTAAAAAAAATATCTTTTTCTAATTCAGTGCCATATTCTTTTATATAACTGGCTTGGGCTTCAAAGTGAATTTCTTTCTCAAATTGTTTTTTTAAACTAGGAACATTTTTATAAACGCTTCACTTACGTCCTGGCTTATCACCATCCAAAGCTATTCATTGCCCCTCTTTAAATTTAGGATTGCCATATTTATCTAATTCTATTTCACTATCTGGAACTAATTCTCCTTCGTGTCCGGTTTTTCTTAACATTTTCCCGATAGCCCGCAGATAGTGCTTGCGGGAATAAGAAAAAGGATAATCAGTATTATTTTTAAAATACTTATCTCAAATTTCTCCCATACCGACACTTTTGGTAGGCTGTGGCGAGACTGGAATGATAAACCGGTCCCGTATTCTTCAAGGGCTTTTTTGATAAAGGCGTTTATAAATTTCTAACAGTTGACTCAGACTTTTGACTTGCTGCCCCTTAAATTCCGTTAAAATCTTTTCTCTTTCAGCAATAAATTCTTTACGGCGTCGAAATAATTCTTTATGTTCTCCTTTCTCCGGAAAAAAATATTTAAATTGTTCGGATTTTAGAAATTCCTTGGTGCTAGGATTTAAGGAACCAATTTTGTCCTTGTAATACTTTAATTGGTTAGCCTGACTAATTGATTCCTCCTGATAAGCTTGCCTAGTCTGTTTTATTAAATAAGCCGAGCCTTGTTTATTTAATTTATAAACAGTATATTTAGAGCCAAATTCTTTTCAGGGATCATAATCTGGGTGCTTTTTTTGTAATTTGCGGACATAAGAAGATAAGTGGGGGGGTAAACTGAGGTGAGGAGTAAAATATTGGGGATGTTTACTTTTTTCTAATTTATTTAACTCCTGACGGAAGTAAGAATAGATTTCTTTTAAACGAGTTTTTTTTTGTTGCCTGCTGGCTTCTTTGGCTCGTTTAACCCTGAGAGCAACTTGTTTTTTAAGGCGACGTTTTTGCTGGTTGGCTAATAACTTTTGCCGACCGGCTTGTCAGGAGGAGGCTCAGGCATTTAATTTTTGGCGGTAGAGAGTGCGATATTTTTTAACCTCACCTTTTTTTTTGGTCTTCTGGGCCTGCTTAACTAATCTTTCTAATTCGGTGAAAGAGTATTTTTTCCTTGACATTTTTT